CATGCCCAGCTAATTTTTTGTATTTTTAGTAGAGACAGGGTTTCACCATGTTGACCAGGATGGTCTCGATCTCTTGACCTTGTGATCCACCTGCCTCGGCCTCCCAAAGTGCTGGGATTACAGGCTTGAGCCACTGTGCCCGGCTAAAAATTTTATTAACTAAAAATCTTAACTTTTAAAAAAGTTTAAAGCATTCTAATGAGTTCTCTTATTTTTAAGTATTCAGGTAATAATCATGAATTTATTAGCCCCCCACCCCCTTCTTTAAAAAAAATACTGAGACAGGGTCTCACTATGTTGCCCAGGCTGGTCTCAAACTTCTGGGCTCAAGCAATCCTCCCACCTAGGCCTCCCAGAGTGCTGGGATTACAGGTGTGAGCCATTGCACCTGGCCCCCATACCCACCCACCCCTTTTTTTTTTTTTTTTTGAGACGGAGTCTTGCTCTGTTGCCCAGGCTGGAGTGCAATCTTGGCTCATTACTACCTCTGCCACCCAGGTTCAAGCGATTCTCCTGCCTTACCCTCCCTACTAGCTGGAATCACAGGAGCATGCCACCACACCTGGCCAATTTTTGCATTTTTAGTAGAGATGGGGTTTCGGCATGTTGGCCAGGCTGGTCTTGAACTCCTGACCTCGTGATCCATCCTTCTTGGCCTCCCAAAGTGCTGGGATTACAGGCGTGAGCCACCATGCCCAGCCTCCATCCCCCTTTTTAAAAGTGTGAACAAATCTGATTTATATGGTTTTTTAAAAACTGGTTAATACAGGTATTTGGAGCAAACTTGTAAAGACTAAAAGGATAAAGAGTGAAAAGTAAGTCTTTCTTCCTATATCCCCATGCTATGCAGCTCCCTCCCTGGAGGCAACAATTCCTACCAATTTCTTGTGTATTCTTGTAGAGATATTTTACAAATAAATGTATTTTATTTACACAGATGAAAGCATAGCATACATACTGTTCTGTGCTGTGCTTTTTTCATATACAAGTTGAGTATCCCTTAACTGAAATACTCGGGACCAAAAGTGCTTTGAATTTGTTTTGTTTTGTTTTTTGAAATATTCTGGGCCCGACGCAGTGGCCCACGCCTGTAATCCCAGCACTTTGGGAGGCCAAGGCGGGTAGATCACGAGGTCAGGAGTTTGAGACCAATGTGCAAGATGGTGAAACCCCATGTCTACTAAAAGAAAAAATAGCCAGGCGTGGTGACGGGCATCTGTAATCCCAGCTACTTGGGAGGCTGAGGCAGGAGAGTTACTTGAACCTGGGAGGCAGAGGTTGCGGTGAGCTGAGATCACTGCGCTCTAGCCTGAGCAACAGAGCAAGTATCTGTCTCAAAAAAAAAAAAAAAAAAAAAAAAAAAAAAAAAAAAAAGAAAGAAAAATATTCTGAGGATGGAACCCATGTCTAAACACATGATTCATTTATTTCATGTATACCTTATACGTATAGCTTGAAGGTAATTTTATATGATTTTAAAAATAATTTTATACATTGAAACAAAGTTTGTGTACACTGAACTATCAGAAAGTAAAGGTGCCGCTATCAGCCACCTGTGTGGCATCATATTGGCACTCAAGTTTTAGGTTTTGGATCTGGGACATTGAGATTAGGAATGCTCAACCTATGTGTTGGAGATCCCAGCAGTATCATTGCTGGAGTTGGCTGTGTATACTCCGTTGTGTGGCTGTATCATAATTTAACCAGTCCCATTTTAGGACATGAGGTTTTTTCACACTCTTTTGCTATTACAGTGGTGCAACAAATATGCTATGTAAATTCTCGTACGTATTCAAACTCATCTTTGTGTTTATCCCATTGATATTTACTGATAATGACAACTGTTTAATTTTAGTTTTGTCATGCTTATACTTTTTTTTTTTTGATCTGAGACAGAGTCTCGCTCTGTCGCCCAGGCTGGAGTACAGTGGTGTAATCTCAGTTCACTGCAACACCCGCCTCCTGAGTTCAAGCAATTCTTCTGCCTCAGCCTCCTGAAGAGCTAGGATTACAGGCATGTGCTACCATGCCTGGCTAATTTTTGTATTTTTAGTAGAGACCGGGTTTCACCATGCTGGCCAGGATGGTCTCGATCTCTTAACCTTGTGATCCACTGACCTTGGCCTTCCAAAGTGCTGGTATTACTGGAGTGAGCCATCACACCTGGCCTCATGCTCATACTTTTTGCTTTTTCTTATTTGAAAAGTCTCTACATTATATCATCTTTACTTTTTTCATGTGCCTGTGTTTTCGAATAGTTTGGAAGGGCTGTGTGTGCGTGTGTGCACACTGTCACCTTTATAATTACAATTTGATATTATCTACCTTATCTACCATATATACACAGTATTTTTTGAATCCCTGCTAAGAGCAATGATGAAATTGGCATATTTATACTTTTTTCCTTCATTTTTTAAATTATTTTTCTTAGTGTTCACCCTTAAGCCTTTAAATATATTTTATTTATCAGCTTTAACTTCTATCTTTTTACCTCTGGGTATAAGAGATGAGAGTATCAGTAAGCCCATTTACATGCCATGCCAGTTTGTAACATTCACCTTCTGCTTTATAGGCACATTATTTGTCCTTTTGTTATACTTCGTATCTGTTGAATGGCATGAGTTCAGAAATGTTTGTCTTTCGCCTTTATATTTAGCTGGTAGTTTGGGTATAAAATTTGGAACTAGGCTTTCCTTTCTTAAGAATATTGTAGTCAGTGTTCACTCTCTTTTGTAAAAGATTTATTTTTTTGAGATGGGATCTTGTTCTGCTGTCTAAGCTGGAGTGCAGTGGCATGGTCATAGTTCATCGGAGCCTTGACCTCCCAGGCTCAAACAGTCCTCCCATCTCAGCTTCCTGAGTACCTGGGACTACAGGCATCTGCCACCATGCCCACCTAATTTTTGTATTTTTTTGTAGAGACAGGACAGAGTTTTGCCATATTGCCCAGTCTGATCTCAAATTCCTGAGCTCAACTGATCCACCTGCTTCAGCTTCCTAAAGTGTTGGGATTACAGGCATGAGCCACTGTATGCAACCCAGACTCTTTTTTTCTTGTCCTTATTTCCCAAACAATACAGTATAACAACTATTTACATAGCATTTACATTGTATCAGGTATTATAGATAAAATAGAAATGATTTAAAGTATTCTTGAGAGGATGTGTGTAGGTCATATGCAGATACTATACCATTTTATATGAGGGACTTTTCGGCATTCTTGGGTTTTGGTGTCCTTGGAGTGGGTCCTGGAACCAGTGTTCCCCATGGATACCAACTGTCTATAGGCAAAAGTAGAGGTTTGTTTGATTATGTGGTGAGAAATTAATGGATTTTTTTCTCTATCCTTTATAGGAAGAAGTTCTAAAGGATTTTGAAGACTTGGCTGGAAAACTTCCGTGGTCAAACCCCTTAAAAGTGTGGAAAATTAATGACAGTTTTAAAAAGAAAAAAGCAAAGCGCAAAAAGATAAATCAGAATTCAAGTAAAGGGAAGATTAATAATGGACAAGAAGTCAAAATCGATCAGAGAAATGATAAAAAAGACTTCACTAGCCATGCTTTAGATTCCCATATCTTAGATTATTATGAAAATCCAGCCATCAGAGAGGAGGTATCAACATTAGTAGGTGATGATTTGGCATCTTGCAAAGATGAGACTGATGAAAGCTCAAAAGAAGAAACAGAACCTCAAGTGCTAAAGTTTAGAGTCACATGCAACAGGGCAGGAGAGAAACATTGCTTTACCTCAAATGAGGCTGCAAGAGATTTTGGGGGTGCTGTTCAAGATTATTTTAAGTGGAAGGCCGACATGACCAACTTTGATGTGGAGGTAGGTGTAGGCTTTGACTATGATGATTGAAGAATGCCATCACAGATATGTAGGATTTTCAGACTAATCCAGTCTTATGCTGAATTTAATTGAGGAAATAGTAGGGGGTAGTTAAGAGCATAGGCAATGGAGACAGATTTAGATCCAAATTTTGACTCCACAACTGTGTAGCTTCAGACTGCATAGTCTCTAAGTCTCTTTTTCAAATGGAGCCAATAATAGTGTGTACCTTTAAGGTCCTGAAGGATAAATGAGGTACATTTAAAATATTTCATACAATACCTTGCATACACTAAGTGTTCTGTAGATGGAAGCTATCAAAGTTGAGTTGTCTTGTTTTCTTTCTTTTCTTTCTTTCCTTTTTTTTTTTTTTTTTTTTTTTTTTTGAGACAGTCTTGCTCTGTCACCCACTGAGTGCAGTGGTATGATCTCAGCTCACTGCAGCCTCCACCTTCCTGGTTCAAGTGATTCTCGTGCCCAGCCTCCTGTGTAGCTGGGACTATAGGCACACGCCACCATGCCTAGCTAATTTTTGTATTTTTTAGTAGAGACATGGTTTCACTATGTTGGCCAGGCTGGTCTTGAACTCCTGAAGTGATCTGCCTGCCTCGGCCTCCCAAAGTGCTGGGATTACATACATGAGCCAGCACACCTGGCCTGACCAGATTTCTTTGTTGTTATTTTGTTTTGTTTTGTTTTGTTTTTGAGATAGAGTCTTGCTCTGTTGCCCAGGCTGGAGTGCAATGCTACAACCTCCGCTCACTGCAACCTCTCGTCTCCCAGGTTCAAGCGATTCTCCTGCTGCAGCATCCTGAGTAGCTGGGATTACAGGTGCCCACCACCATGCCTGGCTAATTTTTGTATGTTTTAGTAGAGACTAGGTTTCACATATTGGCCAGGTTGGTTTCGAACTCATGACCTCAGGTGATCTGCCTGCCTCAGTCTCCCAAAGTGCTGGAATTACAGGCATGAGCCACTGTGTCCGGCCCTGATTTCTAATAGGGTACTTTTTTACGATACTATGTGGGCTTTCATATTATAAAATTCAACCAGAACCAAAAAGTTATTTTGTTTTTGTGTGTCTTGGTTGCAGAACTTTGCTACTGAAAAGATAAAATAAGGCTGGGCACAGTGGCTCACGCCAGTAATCCCAGAACTTTGGGAGGCTGAGGTGGGTGGATCACTTCAAGTCAGGAGTTCGAGACCAGCCTGGCTAACGTGGCAAAACCCCATCTCTACTAAAAATACAAAAATTGGCCAGGTATAGTGGCATGGTCCAGTGGTCCCAGCTACTGGGGAGGCTGAGGCAGGAGAATCACTCGAACCAGTAAGGTGGAGGTTGCAGTGAGCCGAGATCATGCCACTACACTCCAGGCTGGGTAACAGAGCAAGATTCTCTCAAAAAAAAAAAAAAAGTACATTTTTTAAACAAACCCTGACCTTCTCAAATCAGGACATCATTGCTAACACTCATCCTAGAGTTAGGGAGAGTCAGCTGTCCTCTTTCTTAAATTCTGCTAGATTTCCAAAGCCAGATACCTCCTTTTAGCATGTTTACTTTCCTTGGTCTGAATCCTCTTCTACCTAAGTGATTGGCATGTAAGCCATAGGAACTAGAGTCTTGAAGTCGTCTCCGACAGCTTAAAATGTCTCTAGCAGCTGATGTATTTACTAAGGAGCCAATTTCTGTTGCTTTTGGGACACTTGAATCTGGGGCAGGTCACTGATTCTAACTTTTTTGTGCATGTCAAATCAGGAGAATAAGTCCCCATTCTTTTTTTCCTTATATACTGCCATGAAAATGAGTAGGTGGCTCACACCTGTAATCCCAGCACTTTGGGAATCCGAGGCAGGCAGATCGCTTGAACCCAAGAGTTCAAAACCAGCCTGGGCAAAATAGACTGTCTCTACTAAAAATAAAACAAATTTTTTAAAAAAGAAAATGAATAAAAACAATTAAATTAATTAATTTAATTAAAGCAATTAAATTAATTAAAACAATTAAATTAATTAAAACAATGATGTCTAAAAGTTAGTAAGGTAGTAAGGTGATTCAGAGGACAATTTCTGGAGCCATGCTGCATAGGTTTAAATCCCAGAGGAGGCCGGGTGTGGTGATGCCTATAATCTTAGCGCTGTGGGAAGTCAAAGTTGGAGGATTGCTTGAGGCCAGGAGTTCAAGACCAGCCTAGGGAGACCCTGTCTCTACAAAAAAATTTAAAATATTAGCTGAGTATGCCTGTAGTCCCAGTTACTTGGGAGGCTGACTTGGGAAGATTGCTTGAGCACAGGAGGTCCAGGTCACAGTGAGTTGTGATCATGCCACCACACTCCAGCGTGGGTGACAGAGTGAAACCCTGTCTCAAAAAAAAAAAAAAGTGAATTCCAGAGGAGCTGTCTTTGTGCCTCAGTATTCTCATTTATAAGGGGAATAATACCTAGCTTAGGGGATATGAATATGAGATGAGGCCATGTATGTAAAGTGTGTAGAGTAGTGCTTTGCATTACGAAATGCTATATGAGTGTCAGCTGTGCTTGTGCTGTTAAGCTCATGATGAGGAAATCTTTTGGTGAAAAATTGGGGATCATTTTAGTTTAGTTTAGTTCACTTTTGAGACAGGATCTCACTGTGTCACCCAAACTGGAGTGCAGTGGTGTAATCATGGCTCACAGCAGCCTTGACCTCCCAGGCGCAACTATCCTCCCACCTCAGCCTTCTGAGTAGCTGGGACTACAGGCATGTGCCACTGCACTCAGTGTAATAAGACTTTTTATTTGAGACTCTGCCAATTTTGAAAACTTTTTTGTTGAGATATACTTTGCATAAAGTGTACAGATCTTAAGTGTACAGCTCAGCAAGTTTTTACTTATATACACAATGTGTAACCATCCAGATAAAGATATAAAATATTTCCAGTACCTCAGGAGCCCTTTCTCAATAACTACCCGTGCAAGGTAATCAATCACTAATCTGACTGCTACCATCATAAATTAGTTTTGCCAGTGTTTGAACTTCATATAGATGAAATCATATAGTATATACTTCTTTGTTTCATTTTAACATCTATTTTCTTTTAATTCACTGTATTTATCAATTGGCTACAACAAGATTTCACCCCAATTTTTATAACACATAGTTTGAAGGTTTACAGGTTTTTAATACGTATTTCTTTAAATGTCTAACTTTTTAGACAGTTCTGGGCTGTGGTGTGCTTTGTGGATCAGGTGTCCACACTAAGCTTGGCATCAATATGGCGACCTCCCAGGAGTGGGGGACCACCAGGTTGCCTAAGAAGGGGTGAAATGGCCGAGGTCGGTAAAAGTCTTACTACTAAGTGCAGTTTGAACAATCCTAAAACTATTTTCTCTTGTTCCACTTTACTATAGGTTCTTTTGAACATCCATGATAATGAAGTCATTGTGGGGATTGCATTGACTGAAGAGAGTCTCCATCGAAGAAATATCACACATTTTGGACCTACAACTCTTAGATCAACTCTTGCCTATGGGATGCTCAGGTAAGAAAATAGTGTGCTGTCCAGCTTAAAGTGGCACCTTGGTTTGAATTTTGCCTTCAAAACACTGATTTGTGTATGTGTGTTTGAGGTACTGTGTTGGAATGCAGTGGATCAAGAATAGGATGGAAAGCTAATGATCTCTTTCTTTCCTTTCTATCTAGTATTGACTCCTTGTGGCCTGAAAATACTGCTTAATAGGTATCTCAGTTTTCTTTATTGTATTTATTTTTTTTAGACAAAGTCTCACCCTGTCGCCCAGGCTGGAGTGCAGTGGTGTGATCTCAGTTCACTGTAACCTCTGCCTCCCAGGTTCAGGCAGTTCTCCTGTCTCAGCTGAGTAACTGGGATTACAGGCAACTGTCACCATACCCAGATAATTTTCGTATTTTTTTTTTCTTTTTCTTTTTTTTTGTTTTTTGAGACAGAGTCACTCCATCGCCAGGCGCCAGACTGGAGTGCAGTGGCACGATCTTGGCCCACTGCAACCTCCACCTCCCAGGTTCAAGCAATTTTTTTGCCTCAGCCACCCAAGTAGCCGAGATTACAGGCACACACCACCATGCCCAGCTAATTTTTGTATTTTTAGTAGAGACGGGATTTCACCATGTTGGCCAGGATGGTCTGGATCTCTTGACCTCGTGATCTGCCCGCCTCGGCCTCCCAAGGTGCTGAGATTACAGGCGTGAGCCACTGTGTCCAGCCCGTATTTTTTAATAGAGATGATGTTTCACCATGTTGGTGGGGCAGGTCTCAAATACTGGACCTCAGGTGACCCACCTGCCTCCACCTCCCAAAGTGTTGGAATTACAGGTGTGAGACACCTCGCCAGCCAGTTTTCTTGATTTTAAAATGAGAGTGGTAGTTTTTATCTGCCTTTTGAATGGGGTTACCACATTTCTCTTTAGCAAGGATATGCATGTTGAGAGATAGAGCAAATTTTGCTGTTTCATTTCTGTGCAGTCAAAAAGATGAAAGCAGAGTTTTTTTGTGTAACGTGTAAATGAATAGAAAGCTTTTACTCACATTTTTAAGCCTTATACTCACAGCAACCCAGGAATCGTCCTAGAATTTTTCACTTTTCAGAGTGCAAGACCTGTCTTTCCTTCTTCTTTGCCATTCTTTTATTGGGTGCTGCTTTTCACCACTTGAAAATGTTTATTTTCTCTAAGCTTCTGTTTTCCAGATGGCAAAATGGGTTTCATGTGAGACTTAAAGGATTATTAGTGAGGATTAAGTGCTGAAGCATATACAAAATACATATTATATACAGTTCCTGGTATGTCCTGGTATTTAAGTCCAGTAATGCATCACTTACCAGGGATATGTTCTGAAAATGTGTCATTGCACAGTTGCATCATTGTGTGAACATCATGGATTGTACTTACACAGATCTAGATGGTATAGCCTACTGTACACCTCAGCTATATGGTATCTCCTATTGCCCCTAGGCTTCAAATCTGTAAAGCATGTTATTGTACTGAATATTGTCAGTTGTAGCGCAGTGGTAGGTATTTGTGTATCTAAACATAGAAGGGGTAGGGTAAAAATATAGTATAATTACTGCATTTATATATTTGGTCCATCGTTGATTGGAAGATTGTTATGCAGCGCATGACTGTATTCCTTCTCTTCTAATCTTTTATCTTCCTAACATATTAATTCAATGACGGTGATAGAAAATTGGGCCTATTTGTTAAAGGAAAGTCTTCTAATCCTTCTAATCTTCATGATTTTAACAAATATGTGTTATCTACTGCCAGGCATATGGTAGAAACCAGGGATACAGAGAGGGAGTTATTTTAGGCACAAATGTTAAAAACCTAAGTAATCAAGTTTCAGATAGAAAAGTGATGATTGTGCCAGAGCGGGGTTTATTGGAAAGATAAAGAGAAATCTTGGAGATTCCACAGAAAAGCTGAATGTTGGTTCTCAAGTAGGGTAGGAACCACATCTTGGAAAACCACCAGAAATGTAAGCAGTCATTTTTATCACCCTTAGAGCCAGTGGACTCTTGTCTCTTTCATCTATATGCTGTCTCATCTGAATTTATGTATTTCCAATTTCAAATGACTAGGGCTTTTAGCTCTTTGTTCTAAATTCCTGGAAGAGAGCATCTGATTAACATTGTTTGGTCAGGTGTTCACCCCTTATTCATCAGGAATGGCTTGGAGTACAGGGTGTTTACCCCCTCAAGAAGGTTGCCAAGGATTCTGTTGCCATGTGTTGAGAAGTAGGAACAAGGAGATAGAACAGGACCAATATTACAATAAGAGCCCACTGTTAACCCCCAAGAATCTAACTTGTGTGGGAGATAAATAATTATCATACATGTGTAAGTCCCACACCAGCACATGAAAAGATTAGAAGAATAACAGAAGGGAAGAAACCTACTGACCTGTTTCAGGATGGGATACTTCATAAAGAGGGTAACACTTAAGCCACTAACAATAATGCCTCTAATCTTGAATCTGTTACCTACTGGTTTTGTGTCCCTGGGCGGGTAACTTCATGTTTCCTTGCATCAGCTTATCGTTAAAATGAGAATGATGATGATTATCTAACAGAGTCTTACTGAGGATTCAGTGAAATACATGAAAAGAGCTTCAAGTCCATGCCCAGCAAATACTAAGTGCTCAAAGTAAAGCATTTTTTTTCCTTTTTTTATTACCTGGTTCCACAGAGCAATTTTTTTATGTCAAGATTATTATCTTTAAATTCAAAAGGAAAGCAATACTGAATATCTATTGCCAGTAACCTTATATTGATGCATATTTTACTTGAGACATTTTTGAGTATTTTTAATGTAATACAGGTTTCTGTTGAAAACAACACTATTGGGCCGGGCGCAGTGGCTCATGCCTGTAATCCCAGCACTTTGGAAGGCCAGGGCGGGTGGATCATGAGGTCAAGAGATCGAGACCATCCTGGCCAACATGGTGAAATCCTGTCTCTACTAAAAATACAAAAAATTAGCCAGGCATGGTGGCACATGCCTGTAATCCCAGCTACTTGGGTGGCTGAGGCAGGAGAATTGCTTGAACCCAGGAGGCGGAGGTTGCGGTGAGCCAAGATTGCAGCATTGCACTCCAGCCTGGGCAACAAGAGCAAAACTCCGTCTCAAAAAAAAAGAAAACAACACTATTGTCTTAAGGTATGAGAGAGAGAGCGAGCGAGTGTGTGTGTGTACTTTAAGATGCCTACAGACAAAATTTCATCCGAAAGTGAAATGGGATTTTGGAAGATAGTCAAAGGAGATCTGGTTATATGTAATGATTTTTTTTCCAAAGCAATAGAATATACAGTCAACCTATCATTACAAATTGATTTTTTTTTTTTTTTTTTTGAGATGGAATCTTACTCTGTTGCCTAGGCTGGATCTTGCATGATCTTGGCTCACTGCAACCCCTACCTCCTGGGTTCAAGCAGTTCTCACATCTCAGCCTCCCGAGTAGCTGAGATTACAGGTGCCTGCCACCATGCCCAGCTAATTTTTTTGTGTTTTTAATGGAGATGGGATTTCACTATGTTGGCTAGGCTGATTTGGAACTCCTGACCTCAGGTGATCTGCCTGCCTCAGCCTCCCAAAGTGCTGGGATTACCGGCATGAGCCACCACACCCAGCCACAAATTGATTTTTAAAATATTTGTAGGTTGGTGTTCCTTCATGCTAGTGTGATAGGTCCTCAATCTTAGAGCTTCAGGAATCATTAGTATAAAGCCTCAGCTTTTGGTTGAGTGTTCACATAGGCTGTTTTCTTTTCTCTAGGCTCTGTGATCCTCTTCCTTATGATATAATAGTCGATCCAATGTGTGGAACAGGGGCAATACCAATAGAGGTAATCATATTTCTTTAGCTTTTAGAAAAGAGTGATACATCCCGAATATTCCAGACCTAATGGGCAAATTAGACATAATGAAAATTCCATGGTTGGATCAGTGGACCCAAGAGTTTTAAAATAATTAACAATAGAAAAGTAGGAACTTTTTTGTAAAGAATGTAACTACTTATTTCAAATAGCCAAGTGCCACTGGACTAGATAGATTGTTGGTGATATCTATTCACTAGATTACAGAGGAAGCTGAGAATTAGAAACTGGTATGGGTCCTCTTTGTGTAACAGACAAGCTGGTAGACTTGAATGGGAGATAATTGAAGGCATAAGCATAAACTTGAAGAAGGTAATTTTCCTCTCTGTAATCCACTTAAGTTCCTAGAGGGAATAAATATAGTTATAAAAAGAGGAAACTTATGAACATTGCTTGGATTTTTTAGGAAGCCTGACAAGCTTAATACCAAATGCATTTAAATAGTTTTCAAAATTACTGTGATATTAAGAGGGCTCATAAAAACTGTGTAAAGCAAAGCAAGAAATGGAAAGGCATTTTCTAAATGGATAATATTTCACAGTATAGTCCCCTTGAATAATCAGTATCATCTATATGTTTTTAAACAATTTAGAAGAGAGAGCTCCCAGTAAAATCACTGAAATTTGTGTAAAACATAGTCGTTCTTCCATATAGTATACTGAAAGCCAATTGGAATAAGCTGCAGGGAGATACTGCAGACTATATGATTGGGTAGAAACTGGACAGATGAGCAAGCCCACAAGGGATGAAATAATTTAAACTGTAATTAGAAAACGATATCTGTGTTCTGGGAGTTAAAATCGAAGAATGAAATCATAGAAGTCTACCTGATGACTGTGTTCTCTGAGAGCTAGAGAAATTACTGTGGCTAAAGAGACTGCACAGTGAAAACCCAACTGTGGCTAAGAAGGATTCTGGGAACAAAACAGAGTGTTGTTTTCTAGTATGAAATAGCAGGTAAGGTCACAACATGTCAAGAAATACATAACAGAACTCTGAGTAAAAATAAAGGCCGAAAACAATTAAAAGATGAAGTTTGAACCATTTCCATGTGAGAGTAGACATGCAAATGTCAATGTAGAAAAACCTAAGCTGATATATGATCAAAATGAATAAAATTATGAAATTGACAAGATATATATAAAGATTTGTTCACCAGAGTATAAAATACTTGATCTAGAATACTTTATTTAAAATTTAGAAATACTATACTGTAAAACCCAACTCTTTCCAATGCTGAAAATCCAAGTAGGTTTAGGAGAAAAGGAATATTGGGGAATCAGAATCACTGAGAGGCTTCCTTAAACTCTAGGTCCCCTCTAGATCCCCACCCACCTGAAATTCTGGCATACTTTGGCCTCCCTTTTGTTTGAAGTCATTGTAGGATTGTAGATAGCAGTATGTCATCACCCTCTAGTGTCTGCGCAAAAGAAAACTTATGAAGCATTGTATTCATGGATGAGAAGTATGTTACTGTTCACAAAGGAAGAGGTGTTTGCTACTCATCCCTAAGTAGAGGCAAGCCTTTCTCTGCTTTCATGTCAGAAACCTTCTGTTAATCTGCATAGAATGTTGTTCAGACCTAGGGTCACATGTTACCTCATTGCACAAATGATATATGACAGCTTGGTATTTATGTTCTGCTGACAGGTTTTTTTATTTAAAGTTACAAAATCCTTCCAGGGATATGGTGGTTACTATTCAAAAGCTTATCATACAAAGGAAATTGCATTATTATTTATTATATAGTTATTATTATTATTATGTAGGGTTCTGTGAGCCCCTCCGTGTTGGTGCAGAGACAAGAAACTAGAAATAAAAGACACAGACAAAGAGATAGAGAAAAGAAAGTTTGGGCTCAGGGGTCTGCTGCCAACCAAAGCGCAGAGACCTGCACTGGCACCAAGTGCCTGGACACTCTGACGAGTACAAAGCAGTGGGCAAGGAAGGTAGGGTGAGGTAATGGTGGTCGGTGATAGGGTCAGGTAAATCACATGTCTTCGAGATAGGGGGCCCAATACTTTCAAGTAGCCAAGGCAAGGAAAAAACCTAATGCGTCAGCGTTCTTCGCATATTTGTTAAAAATGTCAAGGACATTAATTCTTATCTTCTGAGAAAAAGAAAAACCAGGTGCAGAAGCAGGGCATGAGAGTAGACACGGAATGTGACCACTGAAGCATAGCATCACATAGAGAGTTAAGCCCCCAGAAGTCTGTGGGCTTCCCTGACAGCTGTCAGGCCTTACCACGAGCTTGGAGAAGCACAGTTTTCTTCAAACTTCCCCAGGAAGGAGGTGTCTTGGGATTTTCCCCTACAATTATTATCTTTTTTGAGATAGGGTCTCACTCTGTTGACCATTACAGTGGTGTGATCTCAGCTCCCTGCAACCTCTGCCTCCCTGGCTCAGGCCATCCTCCCACCTCAGCATCTTGAGTAGCTGAGATTCGGGTGCACACCAGTATACCCAACTGATTTTTGTGTTTTTGTAGATACGGGGTTTTGCCATGTTCCCAGGCTGGTTTGAATTCCTGGGCTCAAGAAATCCTCCTGCTTTGGCCTCCCAAAGTGCTGGGATTTCAGGTGTAAGTCACTATGCCCAGCCGGAAATTGCGATTCTCAAATGTATCAGATTATGTAAACTCCACAACCACAAAAGAGTATAGGTTTGGTCAGTTTGATTTGGTTAATATTTTCAAACCACCATTTACTTAGAATTTATTTAGTGTGCCAGACACTGCTGGATGAGGAACTGAATAAAATACTAGAATGTACCTCAAAGAGCTTCCAGATTAGCTGGGAGGCACAGAAGGGAAGAAATAATTAAAAGTGCAACAAGTACAGTGGCAGAGGGTACTTACATACAAAGTGCTTTTGGGAGCAGCACATGAGACAGCTTGGAGAGTTGAGGTTGATGACAGGGCATGAGGTTTGAGCTGGGTCTTAAGAGATGGGAAGAGGCTCAGCAAGCAGTGAAAGAATAAGAAGGCATTTTCAGCCAGGGAAATAGCACAGTTGACAACATGCAATGTTTTACCACTCTAGAAAAGCACAGGATTGTCTTTGTTTGTTGACAATTTAAATAATTATATTTTGCAGTCTACTACTTTTAACACATTCTCTTATCTTTTAGGGGGCTACTGAATGGTCTGACTGTTTCCACATTGCTGGTGATAATAACCCACTGGCTGTGAATAGGGCAGCAAATAACATCGCATCTTTATTAACCAAGAGCCAAATTAAAGAAGGGTAAAAATTTAAAAGATTTCTTAGCATCTTTTTGACTGAATCACTTTTTACATTGACTTTATGAAGTAACACCCCCAGTGCATTGTGACATCATTGTCACCCAAATGAATAAACTGAGACTCCGTTTACATTTTTAAAGTTTATTGAAAATAATTTATATTTTAAAAACATTAATTATAATTTCCCCACCATATGCAGCTTTTCATATCTGTCTTATTAATATGTCTTTTCCCCCACATATTGGAAGAATATTCTGTAGATTCATTTTAATTTCACAAAATTTTAAACTTTATATTTTTACATAGTCTTCTTTTTTGCTGTGGGGACAGGGTCTCATTTTGTCACCCAGGCTAGTGCAGTGGCATGATCATGACTCACTATAGTCTCAACCTACTAGGCTCAAGCAATCCTCCTCCCTCAGCCTCCCTAGTAGCTAGGAATACAGGCAAGTGCTACCATGCCCAGCTAATTTTTTAAACTCTGTAGAAATGGGGTTCTTGCTGTTTTGTCCAGGCTGATGTCAAACTCCTGGCCTCAAGAGATCCTCCCACTTCACTCTTCCAAAATGCTGGGATTAGAGGCATGAGTCACCACACCCAGACCATAGTCTTTTTAAGTCACTATATAATTTCCATGGTATAGAAATGCTACAGTTTATATAGCCTCTTCTCTATTTTTGTTACTTTCTAAGTTGTTGGTTATATATTTTTCTCTCTGATCTAATTTCTTAGGACAGTGCTTTTCGTTTTTCTTTTTTTTTTTTTTTTTTTT